GGCAGGCACGGGTTTCAGAATCAAAAGTGGTTCAAGTCCTTTTAGCTGTGTGGTCCTGGGCTGTCTTTTCTTTACTTCTGTTTTCTCATCGTTAAGGTAGAGGCATTTTAAAAGTTTTGATGAAGATTCTTATAGTTTGGCAAGCGTCCCCTAAACAGGCGTGGAAAAGCTTAGTCCCCAGGGTGGGCCTTCCAAGTGTCCTCTTTACCATGTGGGGCCTAATAGGAGGTTTCCCACCCTGGGGGTGCTCATGAAGGGAAGTGTGGGCCTCTCCCTCCCTTTGCCCCAACCCCTATCAGTCATGGAAATGAAGTCAAGCATCCAAAATCGTGAGCCTAAATAAACTTTTCCATTAATAATCTCGTGGATTTGTTACAGCAGAAAGCAGATCACAGGAACTATTAGTTGATGGAGAAAACAGAAAGCAGTGAGACCGCTAAGACCCAGGTAACCAACCGCATTGAATAAATGTCAGGCGTGTTACTGTGTTCTGCTGCCTTCCCGCTGGGATTCCCTTTTGTACATGCAGACACAAGTGACAAGATCTGTTCATGGGACTGAGAGGTGGAGGTGGGAGAGGGCACTGACACAGACAGTTACCAAATCCCAAGGCAGTATGCTCTGTGCTGTGCACATTCGCTAAATGTTTACACAGTCAGGCCGTAGGTGTGAAGTCACATGAAACAAATGGATGTCTTGTCTATGCTTGGGTCCTAGCCTCGAGATATCCTGTCATGCAAATATCCCACAATCTAGATTAAAATAAAAACGTACAACGCTCACTCCTGGTCCCAGGCATTCCTAATGAGAGAGGAAAAGTCTGCAGAACAATTGGGGTAATACCAGGGTTGTAAGAAAACCACTCAAATTAGCATTTTTCCTCCCTGTTTCCGTACTTGGCAGTGGAAAGGCTGAGGAGTCCTTTGGGAAGAGTTTGGGGATAGTCAGTGGGACAGGAGATTGACCCATATGACCCTCTGACTGTCCTAATCCCTTCAGAGTTGACATCCTTACGTGCCTGTTTCTCCCCGTCCCTTGTGCACATGGGAAGGGGATAGGCTGAAAAGTAAGAGCACTCTTGTCAGGGAAAGGAAACAGACATGTGTTGAGTCCCCTGCA